ACTTATACATGTGTGTTAAGTGACCAAATTGTAGATTCCTTCACATGCCCCAGGTCAGCACTAAATGCACAAACAGAAGAGCTCAATGAGTGATGTAGCCTTGGGGCAGTCTTAGATATTAATACTTAAGTGGCCAGGGTTTTGCAGTGTAACACCCCAGTCAGCATGACCCTTCCAACCATTTGATGCTCAATGATTGGGAATTGTGGCGTCCTTGCTTATAGGGGGAGACCAGCAGCCTACCATGCATGTGCAAAACTCCCATGTTATGAGGACAGATCTTAATTCAAACACACAACCAAGCTGACAATACTGATACAGAAGTATTAACCAGGCTGTGCATTTACAGCGTGTGCCCTATCTACAACTATTCCATTCACCCATTCTGAACAATAACATGATACCTTATTACTCACCAAGTAGGACACATGACACCACTGTACTAACAATCATATGCCTAAATTCACCACAGCAATGATGCAAGTGCAAGTCAATTGTGATCTCACCAATCTGAAGTGCAGCTATAGAGCAGCAATATCAATGATCAAGTTACACAAATCATATGCATTCTGAATGTATTTGGCTTACGGATGTTTGCCTCAAGATATACAGAAGTATGAGTCTGACATTTCAATACTCTTCACTATCTTTTCTATCTCTGATACTAGGGATCTGTACTGGAAGATGCTGGGGACTGAACTTGGAATCTTCTGCATATAAAGATGCTAGGGTCCCTTAACTATGGTTCTAAATGGCTTCAAAATCTGCAAACAATGTAACTCTTGTTGTTATCCAAAAAGGAGTAAGAAGTTCACATGCGTGTGTTAAGTAAGGACAAGTTGCCCATTTTAACATGGAATTTCCTGTTAGCTTGATTTACATTCCAAATATTGCTTAAGTTCAACTCCTGGCTACACTTTGCAATGGCAGAACTATTTTTATCCTCCCCTCCAGCCACAACTATTTATACTGAACAGCAACAACTATTTTTCTATCACAACACACAAAGCAGAAACATATTTCTAAAACTATTGAGCAATAAAAACATGGCCAAACATCTCACTAACTCCATACTCTTGATAGGACAAGCATTTCAATTTTTATTCACAACTAGCATTTTCTTAAGATTTTTAGGGGCTGCTTTAGCATTTTGTTTCTTCCAATAAGGAGAAGGTTTCATCTTAGTCCAAGAATAAATCCACTGGTAAAACAGATCTCAGGATGAGATCAGCAAACAGATTCCTCAGTTTCTTAAAAGTACATACAGCAGCTACAGGAATATGAGCGACTACCCCCTTCCTCACACTATTATCTCAACCTCAGTCAGTACCCAGAGCTGCTGCTTGCCAGCCCAGGTATCCATATGGTTCATAGATTCCCCAGCACCACATCTAGTTTGAATCTTTAAGGCTGAGATTCTATACAATTATAGGATTTTGAAATCACAGAATTCAGCATCCCAAGACACTGTGTTAAAGGCCAATTATTTATTTATTTGTTTGTTTTATTCATTAATTTCTATCCCGCCCTCCCTGCCGAGGCAGGCTCAGGGCAGCTCACATATAATATAAAACAATGAAAACAGAATTAGATAAAAACAAAGCAATACAATTATAAATATTATAAAATATAAAGTGCTAGTTTATGTCAGATGGCGGGCTTAGCAGTGTGTTCAGACAACAGCCAGCCAATAGCATAGTCTGGGTTTGCCGGTTGTTGACGATGTTGTTAGTGTTGGGCCAGGGCTAGAATTTCTTGGGTGCGGCTCCCTAATCGAAAGCCTGGTGGAAGAGCTCCATCTTGCAGGCCCTGTGGAACTGTAATAGGTCCTGCAGGGCCCTGATGTCCTCTGGGAGCTCATTCTACCAGTGTGGAGCCGCCACTGAAAAAGCCCTGGCCCTAGACACAGCCAGCCTGGCTTCTCTAGGACCCAGTAGGGCCAAGCGGTTTTGGGACCCCGATCGTAGTGCTCTCTGGGGAACATGTGGGGAAAGGCGGTCTCTTAGGTATGTAGGTCCCTGACCATATAGGGCTTTAAAGGTAAGAACCAGCACCTTGAACTGAATTTGGTATGCTATAGGCAGCCAGTGCAGTGGTTTTAGCGCAGGCTGGATGTGTTCCCACATCGGGAGGCCCAACAACAGCCTGGCTGCTGCATTCAGCACCAGCTGCACCTTCCAGATTTGGGACAAGGGCAACCCCACGTAGACAGCATTACAGTAGTCCAATCTCAAGGTGACCATTGCATGGATCACTGTAGCCAGGTCATTGCATTCAAGGAAGGGAACCAACTGCTTGATCAGCTGGTGGTAAAAGGCTGATTTCGCAGTGGCTGCTACCTAGGCCTCCATTATTAAGGAGGCATCCAGGAGCACTCCCAAACTCCTAACCTCTGACGCTGGCACCAGCGGCATCCCATCGAAGGTCAGGAGTGGGATCCCTACCCTCGGGCCACTCCGACTCAGGCACAGGACCTCCATCTTCAGCAGACTCAATTTCAGTCAACTCAGTCTAAGCCAACCAGCCACAGCTTTCAACGCCAGATCCAGATCTTCCAGGTTAGAGTCAGACTGGCCGCCCAACAACACATAGAGCTGGGTGTCATTCGCATATTAATGACACCCTAGTCCATGCCTCTGGGCAATCTGGGCAAGGGGGCGCATATAGATGTTAAATAACATTGGGGAAAGCACCGCTCCTTGGGGCACTCCACAAACTAGCGGGTGCCTTCAGGACAGCTGCTCCCCAATGGCCACCCTCTGTCCCCGACTCAGAAGGAATTAGGTCAGCCACTGCAAGGCAGACCTCTGGATCCCAGTGTCGGCAAGGCGGTGGGTCAGTAGTTGGTGGTCGATCGTGTCGAACGCCGCCAATAGATCCAACAACACCAACACCGCCAAACTACCCCGATCCAGATGCCTACGAAGGTAGTCTGTGAGGACGACCAGTGCCGTCTCCATCCCATGGCCTGGTCGGAAGCCAGACTGGAAGGAATCTAGTGCAGAGATGTCCTCCAAAAAACCCTGCAACTGCATCACTACCACCCTCTCAATTAATTTGCCCAAATATGGCAAATTGGACACCAGCCGATAGCTAGCCAATTCAGCCCAGTCCAGAGATGTCTTTTTTTAAAGAGAGGGTGTACCACTGCCTCCTTCAAGCAAAATTAGCTGTACAAAATGTGTAAGCAATGCTTAGTGTAATCTCAGAAGCCCTGGAGTGAAGATGGGGCAGCATGGGCGGCGGACATCACTTCAGTGCCTAGCATGGCAATCTAACCTTCCCCATGACTAGAACATGTTACACAAAAGAAACAAATCTAAGCACATCTGCTTATTTTGCTTCACATATTTAGTCCAGAAATCCACTTTTCTTGGTGCAAAATTCTGATTACCTTTGTATAGAGTTTTGATTTATAATATTTAACTTAGCCCAGCCTAAGAAGAAAAAAATGATAGGAATGCCACTGCCTGTCTTTGCAACGAAGGGCTGGCTTTGAGTTTTCCTCAAATCTAAGATGCCACATCAGGTTGAACAGAGGAAAAGACAAACTTGCCTTCTCTTGTAGGTACAGGGGTAGAAGCTGCAAATTGCCGTCTGAACTGTAGGTGCCAACAGCCATGCACATACGTACAAAAAAAGTTACCAGCTGAGCCCTCCTCTCTCATCAAAGCTCTATATCCAGGCAGAGAGGGTTTGGCAAGATGCAACTTTACTTACTACAGACAAGCTAAAGACCACAAACATTAAAAATGGGAGGAAATATAGCTAAATCACTAAATTGCCAATTAATAAAGCTGGCTTTAAAACAAGCTAACTCAGCAAAACAATAGTGGTCAGAAGGCAATAAAGTACTCATTCTTCCCAGCCCTTCTGACTTCATTATAATTACCCTGAATAACAGTTTGCAATGGAAAATGCTGACAACTTGAAGCACAGGCAGTAGCCCAAGCAAGCCGGCCTATGAATCTCTTCCCTATAAGTGAGCATAACAGAACTCAAGTATTTTGTAAACAACAAGCACTTCAGGATGAGATATAATCCTCCAGCCTCAAAGTGTGTTAGCGGGACATTATGGTTCCAGCATCTAACCCTTCCCTAGTATTTTGCACACAATACCACAGCCACTTTGGAGAACTTTCAGACAAAACTTTCCACTTGGCATTTAACTGCAGCAAATTTTGAAGCATTATGCCAACTGAGAGTTTGGCCCTGAAATTTTTAGCTTGGCAGTCACAAACTGACCTCATGAAGCCACAGAATTGTTTGTTTTGTGGCTCACAATCCTGGCATAATCTTATACAGTTCCCATAAAACTGCATGAAACCAAGGCAATTAAGAAAAGTCTTGCACAGTAATACAACAGATCTACATAGTGAGCATAAATGTGGGATATAATAAAAGAGAGATTTAGAGTCAGTATAGTCTAATGGCTTTGCTGGTAGATTATTCTACAATCAAGACCCCTGACCAGCCATAAACACACTGGGCAGTCCAGTATCATCTCTCAGCCTCAACCCAGCCTGTAAAACAGAATCATTAACAATTTATTAGCAAAAGCACTGCTCAGTCGCCCCAGTACCATTGGCATGTCTACCTCTAAACTTCCTTCTGCCTTGATGGAAAATAGCAGAACAGGTGACCAAACAGCATTAACTAACACAAATGTCAGACCCAAACTAGTGTTTCTATCTAGCAGGTCCCTACACTAGGGATATTCTGCTAATTTCTGCCTGGTTTATGGACAAGTCATAATCACATACACATTAACATACAGAGAAGGTTATATAGGTCAGATACATAAAGCAGTTTAGGCAGAGCTGTACTATATAAACCTTATGCGCTACTACCTTAACTACTTCCCTTAGGCACTAGACTGTTCTGCCTATGTGGGCCTCTGATTGCTGAAAGCAGAGCCTACAAATGAGGAAAGGAAGAAAGCTCAAATTCAACTAAAATCCTCACTAAGAAAAAACAGGAACAAGCACACTCATACATACCAGCACGTCAAGACCAACTGGACACATCCACTGTAATTCAGCAGCTCTGCAAGAAAAAATATTTAGCCAGAGTTAATGAAGTAAAATTCTCCAGAGCCAGCAGCTGGCAGACAGTTACACTAGTGCCAGTAACCTGACAGCACAGGATGGCTAGTTTCCATCTCATTCTCATATACTCTGCCAAGCCATTTCTGCAACACAATCCCTCAGTCCCATCCACCCAAAGAATCTCCACTGGTCTGTACAGAAACAGGACAATCAACAACAACCCTCTTACCTAGTGGACTCCCCTCTTACCTGCTGGACTCCCTTCTATCAATCATTGAGACTAAGTACATACCCCCTCAGTACCCGGTGCTGAGGACAAAAGGGAAAATTCCATTATCCTCATATCTTGCTTTTAAGCTTTCCTAGTTGCATTTGTCTGGCTACTGTAAAAACAGAATACTTAGACAGATGTGACACCTCAAGCCACTCATTGTACACAATGCAGAGGTGGGGTCAGAGTAGAAAAAATCAGAAGAGAGAGAGAGAGAGAGAGAGAGGAAGAGATACCCACTCTTCTCATGGAGCTATCATTTCTATCTGTGAAACTCAATCTAGAATATCTCCATTCTCCCTTCCCCTCCGTCTTAAAAAAAGGCTTGAAATGTAAGATAAAGGGAAAGGCTTGGGAAGTTGCTATCCAAACAGCAGCCAACTCAACATTACCTAGATAAGCCATTTGTTATCCATGGCAGAACCTCCCTCCATTGTTCTGTGCAGCTACAGTGCAGGCATCCAAGCAATGCACAACAACTCTCTTCAGGGACCAGCATGAAGTCTTTTAGATCATGTATCAGCAGACTGGTACAGAAGCCTTTTTAAAAGGCTTTAAAATATGTTGTGTGCTTGCATACTATTTCTTGGACCTTGTAAAATTGGCAAGTTCAGCACACTTTGTGCACTAAGTAACCATTCCATGTCCAACAGAACGTGACTCTTTTAAGTCCTAACAGAAAATGATGGTAGCCCCTAAAAAGGAGACAGCAGATTGAATCTTTGGGAGTTTTAGCTGGAAAAGACCTCTCAAGTCTAGGCTAGATTTGCTAGTTCTACAGACACTTATCAAATGGTTGCTTACAAACTGTTTAAGAGAACTAGAAAATTACAGTTAGAAAAAATTAAAAGGCACTCAATGTAAAACTGCTGTGTTTGATGAGTACGGTAAGTACTTCCATTGCTAAAGAGCAGGACCTCCACAAAATAAAATGATAGCAACATTATGAATGTACCCAAGAAGCTCTAAATCGGTGATACCCATTCAGTGACTTGGGAGCAACACCTGCCTATGGCTCTTCTGAGCACCATTCCCCAATGTGGCACCCACTACAAGTTCCAGGAAAGTGGGCAGGGCAACTGCGAGGACACTGCAGGGAATGGAGGGACAGGTAAGCATCAAGCTTCCCTGAGCTGTGGGCCAGGGATGGATGTAAAGGGCCCGTCCGATAACCCCCCCACACACACACTCTTCGCATAGCCTCTTTGCTCTCACCCCAGGTGGCTGTCCAGAAAACTGCAAGCTGGCCACAGTGGAGTGGTAATGATTTTACTCTCTTCCTCCACAGCCAGCTTGCTCTTCTTTGAGCTCCTTGGCAATCTCACTCTCTCACCTGAACTAGTGTGCCTCATTCTGAGGGAAAAGTGGGAAGCCCTTCCGCTCACTATAGATACACACTGCCTGGTTAAGGTTCAACAACAGTAAAAGGTAAAGGTAAAGGTTCCCTTGCTTGCTCAAAAGCCCGTCGAATCCGACTCTACGGTTGCGGTGCTCATCTCCGTTTCAAAGCCGAAGAGCCAGCGCTGTCTGAAGACGTTTCCGTGGTCATGTGGCCAGCATGACTAAATACCAAGGCACACGGAACGCTGTTACCTTCCCACTGGAGTGGTACCTATTTATCTACTTGCAATTTCTTGCTTTCGAACTGCTAGGTTGGCAGGAGCTGGAACTAGAGATGGGAGCTCACTCCATCATGCGGCACACTCGGGTCTCGAACTTCTGAACTACCGACCTTCCAATGCCTGCAGTTCAGCGTCTTAACTACTTGAGCCACAGTACGGAGTGACAAGCCTATGTGCTCAGAGATATTTTGGTAATTAACAAGGTTATAGTTATAGATTTAATATTAATAGTTATTGTATTTGTATGTTTGGTGAGGTGGCACACAGAGCATACTGTAATCATGGGGCTGTTTTGGTGAATGGTGAGCCATGGAGTACCACTGCTTTAAACTAAGGATCTGAACCAATATATTTTTATCCCATCCTTCCTGCAAGAAGCTCAGGGTTCTCTCTTCCTCCATTTTGTCCTCATACCAACCCTGTGAGGTAGATTAGGGTAACAGTGACTGGCTCAAAGTCACTCAGTGAGCTCCATGACCAAGTGGGGATTTGAACTTGAATCTGCAAGATTCTAGCCCAACACACTTGTCCTACATCACAATGGAATAAGGAACCATTAATAAAAGGAGAACATTTAAAAAAGTCTACTCCTCCAAATAAGGTGGTAAACAGTGTTCCCTCTAAGCTGAGTTAGTGTGAGCTAGCTCACGGTTTTTTAGCCTCCGGCTCACAGATTTTTGTCTCAGCTCAGGAAGGATGGCTCCAGTGCAAACTAATTTATGCAGCAGCCAAATTGCTCGCTCACAACTTTAATGCCAGCAGCTCACAAAGTAGAATTTTTGCTCACAAGACTCCACAGCTTAGAGGGAACATTGGTGGTAAAGTGGTGCACCACTTCAGCCACCCTGATTAGGATGAAATGGTGGTTAAACTGCATAAAAAGGAAAAATGCTTGATTCTTCTATCATCAGTCCATAGAAACAAGATAGCACAGCTCAGTTACATACTTGTACCAACCAATTTGAACTTTAGCAATTCTGAGTTGAACAAAACAGGGGTGACAGTCCAGAGAAAAACACTGACAAACTTGGGAAGTCATTACATAAAGCAGTATCCATCAGTTATAAAAATAAAATACTTTTAAAAGTTACTTGTTCAGCTAGCTCAGAGCATATACTTGAACGAATTCTGAAATAAGGGGCAATACCTCCCTCCCCCAGATCAACTAACCTATCAAATCCCACAAGGCCTGAAGAGTGCTTGGCTGCCCTGGCTCCAACCTGGTGGAAATCTCTACTGAGTGAGATCCAGGCCTTGCGGGATTTGATGCAATTCCACAGGGCCTGTAAGACGGAGATGTTCAGCTAGGCCTATGGTTGAGGACAGTGATGATCTCTAGCTAGGCTGATTTCCTCCTTTTTCTTTCCATCTTTATCACCCTTCTCTCTTACTGCTAGGAAATGAGGCACTATTTGTGCTCTCTTTATGTGCCATCTTATTATTGTAAATGTTAGAGCTGTTTGTCTGTCAAAGGTTTTAACCTAATTTATTGTTGTTACCCATCCTGAGCCTTGCCATGCAGGGGGAGGTGGATTATAAACTGAAGCTATAAATAAAGTTTTTTCATTCCAGTATCCCATTTGCCATCATGACCAACTAGATGCCTTCCCCTGTTGCTGCCCACAGCACCTGGTACTCAAAAGCTACAATGACTCTGAGCACAGAGGTTTCAAAATGTCAGTCAGACACTATGATCGATCTCATCCTCTAGTAACTTGCCTAACCCCCTTTAAAAGACACCTAAGGTAGCATCAGGTGGGTAGTCATGTTGGTCTGAGGCAGCAGAACAAAATTTGAGTCCAGTGGCACCTTTAAGACCAACAAAGTCGTATTCTGGGTATAAGCTGTTGTGTGCACTCACACTTCTTCAGATACATTGTGGGTTCGGGTCACCCTGCCTGGGAGTATCTGGATACATGGACTCCCTATGCCATCAAGGCTCCTAGTTATGTCCGTGAAGCAATGTATCTGAAGAAGTGTGCATGCACACCAAAGCAAGCGTATACCCAGAACACAACTTTGTTGGTCTTAAAGGTGCCCCTGGGCATAAACTTTGACTTAAGGTAGCAGCCATCTACCTTATACCCAGAATACAACTTTGTTGGTCTTAAAGGTGCCCCTGGGCATAAACTTTGACTTAAGGTAGCGGCCATCACTAAGATCTGCAGCAACGAAATCCGTTCCTTATGTGCTGCGCGAAGTTCTCCTGCACGTGGCAAATCCGGAGAGTAAAGAAGCAACCGAGTGGGCGCAGTAGCTTCTCCCCAGCCGGACAAGAAGCCGGGAACTGCGCAACCTGACCCTATGCGCGTTCACTAAAAAGCAAGGTCCCATGCTCGGGGTGGGGGGTCGGGTCCCGCTTCCAGATAAGCAAGCGAGGCATATAGTCACAACTTTACACTTCCAACTGTGCCGCGCGCAGTAAACCCGAACTCCCCTTCTCGCTTGAAACGAAAGGGAGATACGCTTTCTATTAGCCCCCCTCGCAGACAGAGGGTGGCGGCCGAGGCTCATACCTCCCTCTCTCTGCCGGTGTAGGAAGCCGGGTGGCTCCTTAGCTACTCCCTCAAAGAGGAGTCGGAGCCTCTCGGAATTCCCGCGACCTTTCTCTTACCGATGCGTGAGGCGGCCTCCCGAGGATTTAAGTCGAATGAAAGGAAGGGGCTGAGGAAGAGGCGGCGGCGGCGGCTTCCCAGCTCGCCTCAGAAACTGGCCGTATCCCAAACTCCAGCCGCGCCAGATACACAGCAGCCAAACGACCCGTCCCCACCCCCCTCCGGTCCAGGCTCATGAACGACTTCTCCGAGCCGCCGCCTCCCGCTTCTTTAACTGTCAGTCAGCGGGTGACGAGAACGTGCGCATGCGCCGCGCAAAAGCGGCTAGGTGCGTTTAGTTAGTTGCCACAGGAGGGGCAATTCCAGGGCGGGCCCCCCACGCCGTACCTCAAACGCATGCGCTGTGTGTCTCGAGAGCCTTGAGGCGCCTGTGTTTGCCCCAGAACTCCTCTAAGGCCTTAAAGGTGCCATTGGAAACTAAATTTGTTGCGCTGCTTCAGACCAACACGGCTGACCAACTGGATCTAAGGCCTTAAGGTGAGGGTGGGTGATCAGCTGAGGAATTTAGCTGGATTGCAACACTGACGCCTGAAGTTACAGGTTTTTAATCCCCCCTCTACGTATAAAGACAAAATACTCTCTGAATGCAGTAAGCTCAGGAAGGAACATAGGGTTGCCAGGTGCCCTGGGGGGCGGCGGGGGGGGGGTTAGGGTTGCCATCTCCTGGTTGGGAAACTCCTGGAGATTGGGTGGTGGAGCCTGGTGAGGACAGGGACTTCAGTGGTGTACAATGCCACAGAGTTCATCTTCCAAAACATCCATTTTCTCCAGGGGAACTGATCTCTGTAGTCTGGAGATGATCTGTAACTCCAGGGGATCCCTAGGTCCCACCTGGAGGCTGGCATCTTATAACCCTGATTGGCTAATTTACTATAGGCAAAGAAGTGAGCAGTGACTCACAAAAGCTCATACCCAGCCACATATTTTGTTAGTCTTTAAGGTGCTACTGGACTCTTGTTCTTTTCTGTTACTATAGGCAGGGAGGGGGGGTTATGCCAGGGAACATTAGAAAGTATCTGCCTCCTGGGAGCTTCCTGGCATAGTATAGTCCATGAGTATACAATTTCATTTCACACAGTATGGATCTGGTCTATACCGGCAATCGCATAAAGCATTAGCTGGTGTTCTAATGTTCCTCTGTGGTTGCCAACCTCCAAGGTGGGGCCTCAAGATCTCCAGGAATTACAACTGATCTCCAGCTGACAGAGATCAGTTTCTCTGGAGAAAATGGCTACTTTGAGACATTATACTTTGATGAAGTCATTTCCCTCCCCAAACTGCACCCTCTTAAGCGCTGCTCCAAAACTCTCCAGAAATTTCCCAGCCCAGAGTTGTTAACCCTAACTTACAAAGTTCCTGCAAAGAGAAAAAAACAGCACAACAAGCAAAGGGCAGGTTTAAAATTTTCCTCCCTGGTCTGCTAGCTTTGTAATTGCAAGAAGTTGTTTTTACATGTAAGAGCATTCAAAAATAGAATCACAGTACAGAAAGGTTTCACTGCCCATCTTGAAAATAGCAGAAAGGACATAGAACCCCAACGACGTAAGCAGTGACAGAGCTGAAAAAAGTAACTTTACAACTGATTTATTCTGTTCTAAACTGGAATTCATATGCAGCTAAATTCTAGGGGGAAATTATATTACTTTACTTGAAGAGAAATGGAAGTCTTTGCAAGGGGCATGGCCAAACAACTCGGCCCTTCCAAAACTCTTTGACCACTGAAGTTGCTACCCTCAAGATATCAGCAGAAGGCATGTATGCCACAGGAAGTATAATGAGCAGTCTGGAAATCCCCAGATAGTGAGACTGCTGGGACATTCATATATGCTATCTGATGGAAGAAAAGTGGGATACAAATTCAGTAGATCCTTACCAGTAAGTTTCATTGAACTCAGCATGACCGAGCAAAAATGCATAGGAAATACTTCTTTACACAGAGTGATTAAAGTGTAGCATTTGCTGCCAAAGGATGTAGTGACGGCCTCAGGAATAGACAGCTTTAAAAGGGGATTAGAAGAAGAGGAGATTGGATTTATACCCCACCCTTCACTCGGAGTCTCAGAGCGGCTTACAAACTCCCCTTCCCCACAACAGACACCCTGTGAGGTAGGTGGGGCTGAGAGAGCTCTTTCAAGAACAGCTCTGACAGAATTATGAGTTGCCCAAGGTCATCCAGCAGCTGCATGTGGAGGAGTGGGGAATCAAACCCGGTTCTTCCAGATTAGAGTCTGCACACTTAACCACTACACCAAATTGGCTCTCAAATTTATGGAGGATAGGTCTATCATCAGGTTGCCAGGTCTTACCTTGGCTGGAGAGGGGGACTTTGAGAGGTGTTCTGGGTACGGCTGCCAAGTCTCGTTGAATCGCGGCGGGGGATTGTCATTCTTTACAGGAGCTCTGCCGCAGGGGACGGCAACAGGCGTTGCACCGCCGTCGCCAGGATGTGACGCTACGCGTCGCTCTGGTAACGGGACTCCAAACAGCCCCGTTGCCAGAGCAACGCGTAGCGTCACATCCTGGCGACGGCGGTGCAACGCCTGTTGCCGTCCCCCGTGGCAGAGCTCCTGTAAAGAATGACGATCCCCTGCCGCGATTCAACGAGACTTGGCAGCCCTAGTTCCGGGGGTGGGCGGGGATGTTGCATGACATCCCCAATGTGATGATGTCACCCGGAAGTGACATCATCATGCCGGTAATGTTGCGCTAGAACACTCTGGTATTTCGGCAAACTCCATGGGGTTTTTTAGCCTTAAAACCACAGCGTTTGACCAAATACCAGAGTGTCCCCATGCAACATCCCCGGCGCGATGACATAACTTACAGGTGATGGCGGGGATATTGCGCAGCGACATCCCTGTTTGGGGGTGAGGCTGTCCCTGCCAACCAACTGGCCAGTGGCGGGCTGAAGCCCCAAAAATCAGGGGTTTTCCTAGCACTGCCAGGGGAATGGCAACCCTAGTCTGTCAGTGACCACTAGCTGTGGTGACTGAGGGGAATCCCAGACCCAAGAGGCAACGTCAGAGGAAGGTCTCAGCCTCTATGTCCTATTGTTGGCCTTTCAGAGGAACTGGTTGGCCACTGTGTGAGACGGAATGCTAGACTAGATGGACCACTGGTTTGACTCAGCAGGGCTCTTCATACTCTTATGTTTATATGAGGAAGCTCCCAGGAACCAGGCCTATAGCCAGGATTTTTTCCAGGGGGCATTTAAATTTTTAAGGGGGCAGTTAAATTACAGTCAAATTAATCTGAATGCCTGTCTTTAAGGGGGGGGCTCTGAATCTGTTTCTAGCCCTTCCTTTCAAGGAACAGGGCAGTGAGTGTATCAGTTCCTAGGAAAAAACAGGCCAGAGGGGATTTAATCGCCTTCAGAAGGCATTTAAATGCCTTTTGAGTTACCTTCCACAAGGCAAGAAAGCTTAGAAGGGCTTTCATGTTTCCCAAAGGCTCCTGGGAATGCTTTTGAAAAACTCACCATGACCTAGGTGGTATACAGCAGGCCTGGGCTAGGAGAAAGGGGGATTGCTGCAGATGTAGTCAAGGTACCACTCTTGAGTGCCCATCTAAGCTTTCTTGCCCTGTGGAAGGGAACTCAAAAGGCATTTAAATGCTTTCTGAAGGTGTGTATAGAATTCTACCCCCAAGCCTGCCCAGGAATGAGGGGGAAACCTATATTTTTCAGTACATTTAACAACAACCCAGAGAGGTAGGCTGCCCTCTCTGAATTCAGAACAATAGCCACCAGAATCCCTTTTTAACTAGTCCCGGCTTTCCCCAAGGGAGGGATTCCAAACCTTTAGGTTAGCCTCTGGGACATAACACATTGAACAACTCAATCTAGAGCTGCACAGTTAATCTTACCAAGGTAGCTTGTATGGTGAGCAGAAGGCACAGGAGTTTAGCCTTGGAATCCAGTTACAACATCAAACAAGTTAGAAACAAGAATAATATTTTATTCAGTTCAGAGCTTTGCAATTAGACTAATAAGGATTTCAAAACAAGAAAGACTAGGGCAGTTTTTGCCTTCACTACACAGTAAGAGATATGCATAATTACCAGGATGATCCATAGCCCAAGAATGTCCAGGTATACAGTCCAGTTAGACCAAGGGATTCTGAGGGAAAATCCCCCTTGTGCACCTGCCATGTGCTCAGCTTCACAAAGGAGGTCTTTGTTCCACTTGGGACAACATTCCCAGGTGGAATTCAACAAGTAGAGAGAGAGCAAGAACAGAGCTCTCTTCCAAGGGATCAGACAATTAAACCCCAATCTCATCATGACTAGCCATGGCCATCAGCCAATCACGAGTAGCAAGGTGCGTGGCCAACTTTTGGGTTGTCATGGGGACAACTGGGGATAGGCTGGGGGTTTGGAAACCATGCCTGCAGTCACACAGCTCCCAACTCCAGCCCGTCCATCGGCTACGTGCCTTCTGACAGGCTGGCCTAGCTTCCAGCATGGAAGTGTGAAGGAATGTGTGGTTATATGGTAGGGCTATAAAGCTTCGGCCAAATGTGCAGGCCATTTGGCTTCAACAGGAAACACAACACAGCATGATATCAGCAAGACATCCCAGGGGAAGGCAGGGGCTTTTAGAAATCAATATTTCTATACAAGGTGATTACATGCCCTCTGAGCTGTCTTTTCCTGGATCCCATGATGCCCCCCCCCCCCCAGTTCCACAGTGGGAAAGAGAGGGAAGCCCAAGGTCAAGCCGCAGCACTCTCATCCTGGCCGCTCCCAGCAGTAGGTAGCGGGGGATCTCTCCTCAAAAGTAAGGTTTCTGGCATGGCTATTTGTGGGGCGGGGCTTTTAATTAAGGGGGCAGGGGCCCTAAATACCCTCCTGTAGCTACAGGCCTACCAGGAACTGACATTGACTGCAGGCCTGGTTGTTTGAACCGCTTTTCTGTTTGGTCAAGGGATCGACTGTGTCTCAACATCCAATGTGCCAAGATTTTTACTGGTCCTTGGTTAAAGCTTGCCAAAAACCCATACTCAGTCCATATAATTAGCCCTTGTAATGCAGTCAATCTTCTAAAAAGGAAAAAAAGAGTACCACTTCTTTTCTTCTGTGTCATGACATTTTTCCTTCGAGCTAACTCTGCATCACAGAAAGGATGGACATAACTGAGTAAGTGGGTTGCTTCTGCCCTCAATCTTGGTAGCAGAAAGGGTTTGGAAAACTAATCTCCCTCCCCCCT